AGTTGGGCTGGTGTTCGTAATAAAACATAATTATCACAGCTATCTCTTCGAAAGAGAAAATAGAACGCAAAAGCTAGCGGAACAACAGACTACAGCAAGCGGAACAGGGCACTACAGCGTGAAGAACCATTGACCTTTGAGGCGTGCTGATTCGCGTCACAATCTGCTTGTCGAATCGAGAAAGAACTCGACTTGAGAAGATTACTAGCCAGGACCACATATCTGTGACATTCGCCCCGAAACATAATCCCTTTATAATTTATTTAATTTCCTTCGTTTCGAAACAGTCAATCACTGGTCATAGTTCGACGCAAGAATAGCTTACAGAAGGAGATCAATTATTATTTGCTTTTTTTTCTGTCGACTGAAACGGGTAGCTTTGGTGCCTCGGTTACATCGATGCAATGCTGTTACTGGTTGCGACGCAACCAAGTTCATACCCTGAGCCTCACTAACTAGTCATGTGCCTCATGGGCCAAATTTCTGTTTATTTGGTTAGTTACTCAACTGGATGAAAAGCAACGTGCATTTAACCTTGCTTTTCTCTTTTCGATATTTTGACGACTAAATGTCCTATAAATCAGAGGAGCAAAAAAGCACAGGGCTAAAGAACAAGGACACGGACTCCTGGCAAAAACTATCGATGACGTCAAACTACATATATCCGACTCCACGCAAATCTTTATTATAGGAAACATCGCAAACTGTCATGAGTGAGTCAGCCCACAAAACAAGAGAACACCACCAAGAAAAGGAAAGCTTGACCATATATTGAGTCAACTACAGAAAGCGAATGTAAATTACAATATCACCACCTTTCGCCTCAAGGCTCTTTTGAATTGAAAAATTCTTCCAATATTCTTGACAAAAGTTCTAACCGCACTTGAAATGTTGCTCATTCAGCTAAAAGCTTGACAATACGCGCGCGCTAAGGCGAGTCGGATCGTGATCAGCGCGAACATTCAGCTTTAGCAAGGAAAAAATTTTCTTAGCAAACAGAAAATTGAATTCGTCTTTCATGATTCGCTCAAAAACACCTGAACCAATCAGGCAGCTGACGGGCCTTCCATTGTGGTTTTAGTCTTTGTTCAGCTAATAAATGAAAAGTGAAATTTTAATTACTTCCCTCGACGTTGTCACTCGTTATATTGGAACAGTGTTCGTGGAAATTTGCCTCGAGTTAGCTGACCGGCCAATGACAGATTGCATCAATTAGCTAAACCGGCCTGTTCGCCACCAAAACCGCCGAAATATACCACTGTCGAAGCACAGCCAATGAACCCCTCACGTGGTTTCCCTTTCCATCACGGTAGCAGCTGCGCCTACAGCCTTTCGCTTGAGCTTTTGTCACGAAAACGGGTACATAGCCGCCATTGAAAAGAGAAACATAGGGGAAATAATTTGCAAAATTAAATATGGTATTCTGTCGTGGGCTTGGCAGGGAACAAAGGCTTGATTATCATTGAAATGGGAGGCTTGGACCTTCAAACACAAACCCTCTTTCAGGGTGGCTAAGCCAAACATGCAAATGACGTTTCCAACTTGTCGCACGGCTGATAAACGAAAATACAAAAATTGCTTACAGCCGATACCTGTTCAAAACAACGCTAACTGCTGTGCAATTTTAGCAGATAAAGTGGCCGAGAATTTGCATCTCCAAAGGTCGTTAGTATTGTAAACACGGCTGTAATTGTGTTATACATCACTCAGCCCGGTAAGAGAAGTACAAGAGCAAACGCGGCACGTTCCATTAATATTTAACGCATTCACGTGACGTCATGCCATTTGATAAATGCGTAATGATGGCAGCTATTGAGATGACTAATGGCCGACCTTAGGGAGTCGACATTGGCAATGCGAGCACCAACTTATTGAGGCTTTCGTTGATACTGGTGTGCGCAGCTGCCAAACGGCTTCGCTAAAAACCTTTGGTATCGGCTGTCAAGCATGAAATTAAAAGGACCTTGTTTGGAGCTTGCTTCCCACTAAAGAAGGAAACCGGACTTCCAATGTTCAAAGTGGATTGTGTACTTCCAAAAAAAAAAATATTACAATTGGCTGCTACCAATTTTAAAACTGAAAAGGATAAAAAGCTTAGGAAGGCATATTCGTTAAGTTTCGCAACGTCGTTTTTAATATGAATAACCATATTTTTTTGAACAGAAAGAGAGAACCGCAAAGATAGCTTTTATTCTTACCCAACGCTTCAAGCCGAACAAAGCTTCAGCGTAAAGAAAAGATCTGAAAGGTTCTAAACTTCTGAGCAAATACGGTTCACTGTAAAATAAAACTATTTTATCATGATTACCTTATTATAAACCGGCGAAGTGGTGAAGCCGGCAGCCGTTATGAAAACTCAATTATTTTTTTCTTAGCTTGGTCAACATTTCATTTTTTCGTCAGGTGAAAAGTGAAACAAAAAGATGGCCTGATTGCAGTCTTTGGCTTTTCTAATCACTGAACCAGTGCCATGGAAACCCCAATCACCTGAGAAAGAACGACGAAAATGAAGTGCCTGAGGGGATTGTACAACCCTTCCCCACAAAACAGTCATCATTAGTGGTAAGTTGACACAAATATATTCATTGAAAACGCTCTTCTTTACAGCTTTATCTCAGTCAACAATTGCCGTAGCGTCAGCTACAGGATTCGGCTGCTACCACGTTCCCGCGCGCGACTTCCGTTGACGGATTTAGTCGAGCGGTTAATCTCAAGAGAGTACCGCTAAAACGGAAACCTATTGACCACACCCCAACACAACAATTTCTTTACTATCGTCCTACCTAAATGAAACAGAAAATTTGCGCAAATGTTCAAAGTTGATACTTTTGATTCTTTGGAAACGGAGATTGAAATTCATGGCAACAGCTGACAAAAATTGTTCTTAATCCTCCGAGTTTGACGAACGCACGTGATTAAATAACATCTTCAAATCTATAGTTTAGGAAATGCTTTGCAATGAATATTGAGATAATATCCGATCTCATTAAACGTATGCCTTTAAGGTGGTTTTCTTATGAATCAAAATAAAATAATGTTCATAAGTCGCTGATTTCTAAAGATAACCATGAGTTCGACAGTCAGTGTGACAACCACAAACTGTCCAAAAGCGCGGTTCAATTTCCTGATCTCGGTGTAAAAAATTCGATGATCAACTTCGCTGTCGGTTGCGGACAAAAGCAGAAGACTAGAGACGCTCTCGTCGTTTACCATCCAGCTTTGTTTCTCTGTAAATTCTACCATTTCTAACAAATGCCTTACTCCCACACATAGGCTAAAACGGAAAATACTAACTTTTCTTTTCTTCTGCACTGGAGGTTTACCGTCAATTCGGAAGGAGAACACAATAAAAAAAACTGAAGATGTCTACATGATTTTTTTAACCGCAAAACCATAAAACGATAAAAATAACAGCAAAACGAAAACAAAGCGAAATTTTTCAACAACTTAAACAGCCGTCTTATCGAGCTAACTCACCGAAAATAAACGCGACATTGAATCACGTTCATAGTACACCATGACTAAGTAAATTTGTATATGCTTGCCCTCGTCTCAAACCAAACTGTACCTTTGGGAAGAAAAAAAAAGGGTTTTCGCTCTCTTTGATTTCTTATTTAGGGTCGGGAGTTTCTAGTGAAATGATTTCTCTTTCATTTTGCGCAAATTTTTCTCAAATGTAGCAACGGGTTAACACGTGTCTAAAAGTAGTAAAACATCCGTTACGAAAACGGTAAGAGTAAACGATCGAAAACTTGGCTTGAAATCGGTTCGATCAGGCACAAATGCCAAGTGAAGTCATCAGTCAGGTAATGGCAAGACCTTAAAAGAGGAAAAACGTCAGTCACAAAGAACCTTAACTTTATTTGGGTATATAGCCAACTTTGCCTTATGATCAGCGTCTGAGAAATGAGTGAGCTGTTTTCCGGTTCTGAGAGTTTAATCTTATAATCGATACCGAAAGAAAATTACTCGTACAGGCATGGAAAAATGTTAATAGCCCATTTTTTTCTCGCCCGTTTTCAGTAAACAAGACCCTGCCATGCGAAATTGTCCTGCAACCGAAATATAGGAGTTTTCGGCCGACTGCGAACAAGTTTAGTAACATAGTACAAGTAATTAAGAAGCGTCATGCTACGGCCGAAGAAAACCGAAACCTAAGAATTTTTTCACCAAACGATTTTAAGCGGATTGATATGATCAAGAGTGCTACAGCTCTTGATCCCTCGACCTTTCCGCACCAAAACGGAAAACTAGGTGCGAATAGAAAAGAACTGATAAGTGCTAAAAACAGAACTGACAGACGACTTTAAAAGCTGAAACAGTATTCTACTGATCCATGTGATCTTTGCTATAGCTTCTCGTAACAACATAGTGATCAAATTTGTTATATTTATCTCTGTATATTAAAATATAACATATTAGATCTCTCCGTGAGCCGCGTGTTTCGCATTCTTTTGGTTTTGATAGCATGTCGCACCATTGATAATGACGTCGTGTTTTTCAGTTCCTCTTCAGCTGAGTGTAACATCGCCGTTTGTTCAAATTGTTGACATTTTACCGCCAATACATGGAGAGTGGGAAATGATATTTTCATCCATGATACCATGCTTGTATTTAAAGTCGTTGTCCTTTAGTGGATAACGCAAACATAACTGCACGTAGCTTAGTAGTAAATTCCATATCACAATATGATCACATGCCGGGAATCTTATTAAAAAGAAAGAAAACAAACAGCACGGAAAGATAATAGACCAAAAGCCATCATAGAAATAATACTAAGAAATCTTGGAGTGGAATCTGTCGAGGAATTTTGCGTTTCTGACAGAATAAAACAACTCCTTTGATCGTGACATGTAGTTCAACGATGGTTTTCTTGTTTGAAACTGTACGTGCGTGACGCTATGTAACTACGCCCCCAATATGCCCCCGCATACGCGTCATAACAACTTCCGGTATTTTTGTTATCTGTGGTTATTATTGTACAGCGGAATATCCTTGCTGCGACGTCATATAACATGGCGGACGAGAGAGGTTTGAAAATAAACAAAACTCACCACCGCAAAGTGCAAAGCTTATCGCTTAGTTCCTGCCCTGAAAAGCTTCGCATCCATCTACTAGAACGTAACGATCCGGCAGTTTTTGATGGCGCAGCAAGGCAGTGGGTATGTTGTAACTGGACACCAGAATTTCTGGCTCAGGAACTTCGCGATCTTCGAACAAGTTTTCGATTTTGTGCGAGACAGAACCCGTCTGTCAATGGAAATTCGTGTAAGAAAACCATTATGGAAACAGACTGTGAATTTGAGAAAGCAAGCTTTGACGAGTTTTGTCAATGGTTGAATGGCTGCACAGAAAGATCGGGATGTTTGTCTCGTTTTCAAAGGTAATAAAGACCAATTATGATAGATAATAACTTGTATCCTACTGCTAATATGGAAAAAGCGGGTGTGTCGCGCCATATTGTACACAGGTCCAATCTCAATCATGGCTGGCCATGCTCTTGACCTTGCCAATACAAACATAAACAAACAAATTATAATCCGGCACTCAAGAGAACAATAAACGTGCCACCAAAAATACGGCTTTAGGTTTGTGTATTGAGTCCTCTCTTGTTAATCATTTTAATGATCGGTGAAATATTGACTGAGTGGGAGAGATCAACAACACCGCCAGCGAAAAGGAAATGGTTTTTAACCGCAGATGCAAATTAGCAACAAGAACCAAAGATATTGGTTGAAACGTTACAAGAGTGGACAGGTAGACGATAAGACGCCATGGAAGGGTCGAGTAAAAGTTTGTTTTGACCGTAGTCCTAATTCTATTGTTCCATTCACGTGAATCAAAGCCGGCAAGAATGAATTCTGCTCCGAACGTGATCGGTTTGGTTGTTATTTATATTTAATTCAGGACATGAACTTTAAGCATTCAAGTCAAAGCTTACCATACTTACGACCGAAGCCGGTAAAATTTCCGTACAGCCCCATACTACATTATGCATTCAGTTCTTGAATAGAGAAAACAATGACAAAAACAATACATTGCCATTGGGAAAACAGATTTGTTTTACAATAGTATGGGGCTGTGCGGAAATTTTACCTCCACAATTCTGCTGGTTTAAGCCACCAGTGAGCTTATAGGTTACAGATAGGATATTGCATCATGCTATTGCGATATTAATGACAAGTAAACAGAACAGAAAAAAAACAAAAAACAACTGTAACAGCATAAAACCTTACAAGGATACCAGACACGATACATCAAGATACTTTCATTTTCAAATTACTCATTCAGTGAAGTTGTCCCTGCATTATTTTTCCTATTTTGTTCTCAAATTGCCACATTTATATTTCTTTCTTACAGCCTATGATGTCTTGAACAACAGATTAAAATCAGCATGAGCCCTCCCCTTTTCCTAATCTATGTTTTAGAATCATTTGACTAGCTCAAATATTTGCATTAAACAAACACATGTTGTGAGGTGGATACTGACTCAGTCAAACATTCTTTTTACCTTTTATTAGAACAATAAATGACGCTATTTTTGTAACTGAAAATCAAATATGTTAATAGCATTTCTTGTCGATGAAATTTGACAACTTCTATATCCTAACTGATACCTAAGGAGCTAAGTAGAATAACTTATTCCAGGGTTTGGTTGTTAATTGCATCAAATCAGGGGAGTTCTTTGACAAGAGCAGTTGCTATCAGCACAGTAAATGCATCTAGTTTACTATGGTGGCTGTTCTTTGTCTTGTCCTTGTCTCTGGATGAATATTTAATTAATTTGGACCTATACATAGGAGTTATTGTCTGAGAGGTCCTACTCAAGTCACTCACTCTTAATTATGAAGTCTTAAGGCACTTACCCTCCATGTGAGGCTTCAAAAACAATGTGGCATAAAGCTGTGGTGTTTGGTGGAAATTCATACATGTTATTTTTTCCTTTTTCAACAAGTTTTCTTTTATCATTTAACCACTGGGATGATCTTGTTATCCTTGACTTTGCTTGCTCGGTTGATACATGAAAGGAAATTATAGCAAAAGATAGGCAGGCATATACCATTTAGAATTTATATTCTTCTCTCAGTCAAGTGGCAAACCCTGTATGGGAATCAAGTGTCACTTCATATTATTCATTTTTTAAAGTAACTTTTAATATCTGTACATGAAAAACTATTTTGTAAAATAATAAAGGTGAAGTCTGTACCTGAGCCAAGTGGCCCATCTAACTGTAATTTATGATGGTTTGTGTAATAAATGAGAACTAGCAGTATTGCTATTCCTTGAATAGGATGCATGAATAACGCATGAATTGTAAAACCCTAAAGTAGTACCTAGTGGAAATTTATGTCAGTTTTGGTCACAAGAATGTGATCCCCCATTGGGTGCCAAAAAATATATATGTACAAAATAAATGGCATGATATACCCAGATATATATATATATATATACACACTTTTTCAAAATTTTACAAAGTTTAAAATATATTTTGAATATATATATATTTACTGTTCTATTCAAAAACTGTTTCTTTTTGATGAGAAAAGAAAAGGCACATATAAATTAAGTTTATTTTTAACTTTACAACATTTTTGAAAATGTATATATTTGTTTTAGTTGTTTTTACAAATACACGATCAAGCCTGTACCTTTATTAGAAAACAAATTTGAATCAAATACAATGAATCATTAGGTGTGACAAGATACTGATGTAAAAGAGGCTTTAATTTTTTTTTTGTTTACTTTTTAGACAAAACTATTGGTGCTATGCAGATTACAAATATATGGCTGAATTATTCAAAGATTTTCCTCATTTACGCAAGTCTGTTGACTGGAGCTGCTTTGGTTTTCCTGAGAGAAGTGGTGATGAATCAACAATATGGATTGGAAGTGCTGAAGCATCAACTCCATGTCATGTTGATACATATGGTTGTAATTTAGTTGCACAGATCTATGGGACAAAGAGATGGATTCTCTTTCCACCAAGTGAAACCTCCAACTTGTATCCAACCAGAATTCCTTATGAGGAATCCAGTGTGTTTAGTCAAGTTAACATCACCAATCCAGATTTAACAAGGTTTCCAGCCTTTGAAAATGTTCTTCAATATGAGGTGTTTGCCATTTTTACAGTAAATGTTCTTATTAAGCCTCCCTAAAAAGTGCCCCCCCTCCCCTCCTTTATCTAGAACTAGCTCCTTTAAACAAAAACTTTCATTTGTAGTTTGTTGTTCTTCTGTCTGGGCTAATTACTGTTGAACCTGTATTAACTCTTGAACTCCTAGAAGTGATTAACATGAAACTTCTTCCCATGATATTCATACATTATCCAGCAAACAGATAACAAGAGCACTCAAATGTATCAGGTAGAAATTTTTATCCTGATCTGACACAAAATTCTCATCACTCATTTACAAGGAAATGTGTAGAAGCTAGATGGGAGAATTTGCAATCAGAACTTGGGAGTTAAAGGGTTAAGTGGCACTGTATTAAACAGTTACCCAGTATAAGGGGGTCGGTTGTCTAAGTCCTGAATTTGAACAATTGAGCCCCCCTCAAATCTCCCACTTAGCTCTGGTTTGGTTTGTGTTACATTCAACAACACCGTATTGTTGTAAGTGGAGAAAAATGCTGTGGCTTATAATGTAAGAGGAGGGGGAGGGTGGTGACAACTCACATATCTAAGAGATGGGAGAGCTTGTTTTCACAGAGTCATTGTCAGCCTCTTTGTTTGATATACATCCCATTTGAGTCCAATGTCTGTACAATACAAAGTGCTAAGGAAAAGTAGAGGCTGCTAGTGTCAGAGTTAATAAAGTTATTTTCCCTTGTAGATAATTCTTAAACCTGGTGATGTTCTGTTTGTGCCTAAGAAGTGGTGGCATTATGTGGAATCATTAGAAACATCAATAAGCATCAACACATGGATTGAACTGGTGTGTATGAACAACACAGGTTATTTTACTCTGATCCATTCATGTACATTTATACTACTCCCTAGTCTCTTTATCTAAATGCCATCATAATAGTGATGGTTCATAAGTGGAAATGTTTATACCATTTGAAGCTTTCTCAAACTGTGCAATATTATGGGAAAAGTTGTATTAGCCTTCAGTTGGGTAATTAACTTTGAGTGATGCTAGATATGATTGATTTTCAACATATAATATTTGAATGCCATTATGATATGTTATTTGATGTCAATTTTTTTCATGTCTTGCTGTGAATGATAGATGAAGTCTTACCTTTTTGAATTTTGACTAAATGACTGTAAACTGTCATCACTTTATAACTTAAAGATACATACATTTTTAGTGATCCAACTGTAATCAAATGTTTATTTTCAAACAAATTTGCAAATGAAAATCAGGCATCCAACATACACGAGTTCTCCCCACAGAAAGTCTGAATTTTCTTATTTACCAAAGTTATATAAGATATGTGATCACAAAGTTGTAAATAATAACAATATTGTTAATCACCTCTTTTTCAATGTTTTTTTATTTTTTTACGTAACAAGGAAAGTGATCACTTGGAGAGAGTCAAAGAGGCACTTATCAGAACTCTGGTGGGTGGAGAATTGTTTGTATAAATGTATTCTGCCATAATGCATATCTAGAAGTTCAAGTGTCTTATATTCTAGACTTATTTTGTTGCTCTCTAAGTATTGTTGCTAATAATTGCATGTTTAAAACTAAGCAACCCTTGATAATGGCAACACCTTGGGTGCCTAACCAAGGAGAGGGGCTTATTTAGTTTTGTCATTGTGGTCAGGTGCTTAATTGAAGAGAGGGGCTATTTCAAGGGTTTGCAGTGTAAGGATACTGGAACAAATCTGAATTGCAAATTGTTAAATCACCAACTAAATGAAAATGATAGTCCCCCCCTGAACTGTAATAGTAGAATGAATTTAGTGGAAAAAAGAGAAAATATACTCCTTACAGTCCGATTTTGTTTTTTGTTTTTTAAGAAACATGTTTATGGATTTACCTTAAACCCTTGATTTGTTCAACAATATTGTGATTTGAAGAAATGACTATCAAAAAGAATTATTGTTGTACAGGGTTATGTTTGATAATCCAGGAGTAAAGTGCCTTTTAAACTTAAAATAGCCTCTTTTATTCATTGTTTCAAGGTGTCTGCCTTAAAGAAGGAGGAGGGAGCAGCTGAAGTAACATGGCTGAACCCATCAGAGGTGACTATGACTTCTGTGTTATCTCAAAATTCAAATAATTTCTATGCATTTATCTTGATGTCTTATGGGGAATTGTGCACATTATGTGATCAAATTGTGTACTCAATATAGGCAGCAAAATTAACATATGGTTTTGTGTGAGCTCTGACTAATTATTAAACATCAGTGCAAGCAACAGTGACCATTGAATTAGACTTGAAATTTATGTTGCTGTTCTTGTCTAAACATGAAATGAACTACACTCACTGCATGCAAACATAATCATTATTACAAAAAAGTGAAAATCAGATCTTTCTGTGCACTTGTCTAGAAGTGAGATTTGCATTCATGCATTGAGTTCTTTGCTTTCCAGGAAATTGGAACACATGCACAAAACATGAGTTACTTGTATCAAGCATTGTGTGCAATGAAACAGAGGACAAGCTGTGATGTCGACACATCTTACTCGGATGGGACACAACCTAGATACACTGATCAAAATAAAAGTGATATACTTTCTACAGATGATCTCATAAACTGCATGACATCCCCTGAGGTTATCAATGCAATGATGTCTCAAGCTCTCAAAAAATTTGGAATTTGCCAAACAATTAACTTGCCCTTGAAGTCTCCAAGTGTAGAACAGCAGAAATTGAAGACCACACAGACAGTCAAAATGGAGAGAAACTCGAATTGCAATTCTAGTTCTTGCAGTTATGTACTAGATGAAACAGTGAGATCTGAAAATATTGGTTCAGGGTTTTCTCAGCCATCCACTGAACAGGAAATTTCAGAGCATCCCCCACTGAAAAGAAACTGTACTGACAAGGAAAGAAATTAGACAAGTACTTAATGTCACACAAAGGATGATACCCAGCATGAACACGCCCCCAAATGGGGATGAAAATGTTGTCATTGGGAGAAAGTACTTCCATCCACGGGGCGAATTCATGGGATGATAACAAGCCCTGAAAAGTTATAGCATGAGAGGTAGAATTTAATCCAAGCTGACAACCAATTTCTGTTTGCAGTTAAATTAAAAGAAGTGATGAATTCATTCTTTCCTTGAACTTCTTTGCACAAAACAGAGCAGTTACAGAGTTTTAAAATTTCAAAAAATTTAATATTTAGTTAGTATACAGGCTCTCGTTGATTAATAGATGTTTAAATAACAGTACATAGGCATAGCAGTGAAGATTTCCTCTTTTTGATAAATGTTTTTGTAGTAAGTAGTAGGAGAAGTTTTCAAGATGTAAAGAGCCTAATCTTGATGCGCAAAGTGGTGGACGAATTGTTGAGAGTTATGCAAACCCTCGCCTGTATGGGGGGTTTTCGTATTTTTCATTTTCAGACGAGGCCTTACGAAGGTTAGAATTCTACTGGTGCGCGAGATACTAACGTGACAATCCATCAAAAGAGAATCCTGACAGTGCACGAGATACCAACGTAACATACCATCAAAAGATAAGGCCAACAGTGCGCGAAATACGTACATCTTATTATGCCTAGACGTTCTGGTGTGTAGTATCGCTGAGTATTGTTGTCGGTTTAACAAGCCGACTGGTTAAACATGTGTTATTCAGTACCAAATAACCAACTGTCCAAATAACCGTGCAATATCGCAGGATATTTGTACTCTATCTAGTGCAGCTGAATAATAATGACGAAGCATTCCATCAAAATAAAATCCTATCGGTGCTCAAGATACTAGCGTAACAATCCCTCAAACGAGAAAGCTGACAGTGCTCAAGATACGAACATAACGTTGAATCCATTAAACAAGATGGATAACAGTGAGCGAGATACAAACATAACAACACATCGAAAAAGAATGCTAGCAGTGCGCGAAATACTAACGAAACATTCCATTACAAGAAAATCCCAACGGTTTGCGAAATACCTACGTAACAATCCCTCAAAAGAGAATGCTAACAGTGCTCAAGATACTAGCGTATCACCGAACGCATCAAAGGTTAAATAAGGGTGTGCGAGAAACTCACGTAAAAGTCACTCAAAAGAGAACCTAGAACAGCGCGCGAGATACTAGCGTAACAATCCATCAAAAGAGAATCCTAAAACAGTACGCGAGATACTAACGTAACAATCCATCAAAAGAGAATCCTAAAACAGTACGCGAGATACTAACGTAACAATCCATCCAAAGAGAATCCTAAAAGAGTGCCAGAGATACTAACGTAACAATCCATCAAAAGACAATCCAAGAACAGTGCCCGAGATACTAACGTAACAATCCATCAAAACAGAATCCATAAACAGTGCGCGAGATACTAACATAACAATCCATCAAAAGAGAATCCTAGAACAGTGCACGAGATACTAACGTAACCATCCATCAAAAGAGAATCCTAAAACAGTGCAAGATACTAACGTAACAATCCATCAAAACAGAATCCATAAACAGTGCGCGAGATACTAACATAACAATCCATCAAAAGAGAATCCTAGAACAGTGCACGAGATACTAACGTAACAATCCTTCAAAAGAGAATCCAAGAACAGTGCGTGAGATACTAACGTAACAATCCTTCAAAAGAGAATCCAAGAACAGTGCGTGAGATACTAACGTAACCATCCATTAAAAGAGAATCCTAAAACAGTGCAAGATACTAACGTAACAATCCATCAAAAGAGAATCCTAAAACAGTGCAAGATACTAACGTAACCATCCATCAAAAGAAAATCCTTAAACAGTGCAAGATACTAATGTAACAATCCATCAGAAGAGAATCCTAAAACAGTGCGCGAGATACTAACGTAACAATCCTTCAAAAGAGAATCCTAGAACAGTGCGAGATACCAACGTAACCATCCATCAAAAGAGAATCCTAAAACAGTACGTGAGATACTAACGTAACAATCCATCAAAAGAGAATCCTAAAATAGTGCGAGATACTAACGTAATAATCCATCAAAAGAGAATCCTAAAACAGTGCGAGATACTAACGTAATAATCCATCAAAGGAGAATCCTAGAACAGTGCGTGAGATACTAACGTAACAATCCATCAAAAGAGAATCCTAAAACAGCCCGAGATACTAACGTAATAATTAATCAAAACAAAATCCTAAAACAGTGCGAGATACTAACGTAACAATCCATCAAAAGAGAATCCAAGAACAGTGCACGAGATACTAACGTAACAATCCATCAAAAGAGAATCCTAAAACAGTGTGAGATACTAACGTAACAATCCATCAGAAGAGAATCCTAAAACAGTGCGCAAGATACTAACGTAACAATCCATCAAAAGAGAATCCAAGAACAGTGCATGAGATACTAACGTAACAATCCTTCAAAAGAGAATCCAAGAACAGTGCGCAAGATACTAACGTAACAATCCATCAAAAGAGAATCCTAAAACAGTGCGCGAGATACTAACGTAACAATCCTTCAAAAGAGAATCCTAAAACAGTGCGAGATACCAACGTAACAATCCATCAAAAGAGAATCCTAAAACAGTGCGAGATACTAACGTAACAATCCCTCAAAAGAGTATCCTACAACAGTGCGCGAGACACAAACCTAACAATCCATCCAAAGAGAATCCTAAAAGAGTGCCCGAGATACTAACGTAACAATCCATCAAAAGAGAATCCAAGAACAGTGCGTGAGATACTAACGTAACAATCCATCAAAACAGAATCCATAAACAGTGCGAGATACTAACGTAACAATCCATCAAAAGAGAATCCTAAAACAGTGCGTGAGACACTAACGAAACACTCCATCAAAAGAGAATCCAAGAACAGTGCGTGAGATACTAACGTAACAATCCATCAAAACAGAATCCATAAACAGTGCGAGATACTAACGTAACAATCCATCAAAACAGAATCCATAAACAGTGCGAGATACTAACGTAACAATCCATCAAAACAGAATCCATAAACAGTGCGAGATACTAACGTAACAATCCATCAAAAGAGAATCCTAAAACAGTGCGTGAGACACTAACGAAACACTCCGTCAAAAGAGAATCCAAGAACAGTGCACGAGATACTAACGTAACAATCCATCAAAAGAGAATCCTAAAACAGTGTGCGAGACACTAACGAAACAATCCGTCAAAAAAGAACCCTAAAACAGTGCACGAGATACCAACGTAACAATCCATCAAAAGAGAATCCTAAAACAGTGCGAGATACTAACGTAACAATCCATCAAAAGAGAATCCTAAAACAGTGCGAGATACTAACGTAACCGTCCATCAAAAGATAATCCTTAAACAGTGCGAGATACTAACGTAACAATCCATCCAAAGAGAATCCTAAAACAGTGCGCGAGATACTAACGTAACAATCTATCAAAAGAGAATCCTAAAACAGTGTGCGAGATACTAACGTAACAATCCATCAAAAGAGAATCCTAAAACAGTGCGAGATACTAACGTAACAATCCATCAAAAAAGAATCCTAAAACAGTGCGAGATACTAACGTAACAATCCATCAGAAGAGAATCCTAAAACAGTGCGCGAGATACTAACGTAACAATCCTTCAAAAGAGAATCCTAGAACAGTGCGAGATACCAACGTAACAATCCATCAAAAGAGAATCCTAAAACAGTGCGAGATACTAACGTAACAATCCCTCAAAAGAGTATCCTACAACAGTGCACGAGACACAAACCTAACAATCCATCCAAAGAGAATCCTAAAAGAGTGCCAGAGATACTAACGTAACAATCCATCAAAAGACAATCCAAGTACAGTTCCCGAGATACTAACGTAACAATCCATCAAAACAGAATCCATAAACAGTGCGCGAGATACTAACGTAACAATCCATCAAAAGAGAATCCTAAAACAGTGGGCAAGATACTAACGTAATAATCCATCAAAAGAGAATCCTAAAACAGTGGGCAAGATACTAACGTAATAATCCATCAAAAGAGAATCCTAAAACAGTGTGAGATACTAACGTAACAATCCTTCAAAAGAGAATCCTAAAACAGTGTGAGATACTAACGTAACAATCCATCAAAAGAGAATCCAAGAACAGTGCACGAGATACTAACGTAACAATCCTTCAAAAGAGAATCCTAAAACAGTGCAAGATACTAATGTAACAATCCATCAAAAGAGAATCCAAGAACAGTGCGTGAGATACTAACGTAACAATCTATCAAAAGAGAATCCTAAAACAGTGCGAGATACTAACGTAACAATCCATCAAAAGAGAATCCAAGAACAGTGCACGAGATACTAACGTAACAATCCATCAAAAGAGAATCCTAAAACAGTGCGAGATACTAACGTAACAATCCATCAAAAGAGAATCCTAAAACAGTGCGCGAGATACTAACGTAACAATCCATCAAAAGAGAATCCTAGAACAGTGCACGAGATACTAACGTAACAATCCATCAAAAGAGAATCCAAGAACAGTGCGTGAGATACTAACGTAACAATCCTTCAAAAGAGAATCCAAGAACAGTGCGTGAGATACTAACGTAACCATCCATTAAAAGAGAATCCTAAAACAGTGCAAGATACTAACGTAACAATCCATCAAAAGAGAATCCTAAAACAGTGCAAGATACTAACGTAACCATCCATCAAAAGAAAATCCTTAAACAGTGCAAGATACTAATGTAACAATCCATCAGAAGAGAATCCTAAAACAGTGCGCGAGATACTAACGTAACAATCCTTCAAAAGAGAATCCTAGAACAGTGCGAGATACCAACGTAACCATCCATCAAAAGAGAATCCTAAAACAGTACGTGAGATACTAACGTAACAATCCATCAAAAGAGAATCCTAAAATAGTGCGAGATACTAACGTAATAATCCATCAAAAGAGAATCCTAAAACAGTGCGAGATACTAACGTAATAATCCATCAAAGGAGAATCCTAGAACAGTGCGTGAGATACTAACGTAACAATCCATCAAAAGAGAATCCTAGAACAGTGCGCAAGATACTAACGTAACAATCCATCAAAAGAGAATCCAAGAACAGTGCACGAGATACTAACGTAACAATCCATCAAAAGAGAATCCTAAAACAGTGTGAGATACTAACGTAACAATCCATCAGAAGAGAATCCTAAAACAGTGCGCAAGATACTAACGTAACAATCCATCAAAAGAGAATCCAAGAACAGTGCATGAGATACTAACGTAACAATCCTTCAAAAGAGAATCCAAGAACAGTGCGCAAGATACTAACGTAACAATCCATCAAAAGAGAATCCTAAAACAGTGCGCGAGATACTAACGTAACAATCCTTCAAAAGAGAATCCTAAAACAGTGCGAGATACTAACGTAACAATCCATCAAAAGAGAATCCTAAAACAGTGCGAGATACTAACGTAACAATCCATCAAAAGAGAATCCTACAACAGTGCGCGAGACACAAACCTAACAATCCATCCAAAGAGAATCCTAAAAGAGTGCCCGAGATACTAACGTAACAATCCATCAAAAGAGAATCCAAGAACAGTGCGTGAGATACTAACGTAACAATCCATCAAAACAGAATCCATAAACAGTGCGAGATACTAACGTAACAATCCATCAAAAGAGAATCCTAAAACAGTGCGTGAGACACTAACGAAACACTCCATCAAAAGAGAATCCAAGAACAGTGCGTGAGATACTAACGTAACAATCCATCAAAACAGAATCCATAAACAGTGCGAGATACTAACGTAACAATCCATCAAAACAGAATCCATAA